TATTGATATTTTATATTTATGTTTTAATCAAGTGAATCATTTTTTCCATCATTTGCAGTGAAGCCAAAGACTCACTACTTTTTAGATTGGGAATATTATGGAATAAAGTAAAATGGTTCACTAAACTGTCTGCGCTCCTTTGTTATGAAGCAGCAGTCAGTCTATGCAATTTTCGACGCGATTTTCACTTTGGGTCATCCGCAAACAGACTATATGTACTTTAGTACAGGAGTAAGGTTGTGTACATTTGACCCCCTATCCCACCCTAGGTGGGAGCCTTTGTGGCACTGAGGGAATGATTTTTGGGAGGATGTTAATCACGGTGACTCAGTCGGCCCAATGATGGTAGGTTTTTTTCCCGTGCGATAGTGATAGCGATATTTTTTCAATATATAATTAGTTACTTCTATTGATTTTTATACAAAAAGAATTTGCAAAGAAATATGTATCGATCTAAGTTATACAACATATACCATAGATAGCATATATATCATTTCAACTATTTTTAAACAACTAGGCACAAAAGGGAAATCTTTAGAGCATATACACCTTTGTCTATAAAGAAAGTAGAATAAGTTATTTTAGTTTATTTACCATCAACAAAAAATGATTCAGTAAAAAAGAAATTAAAACAATGTTCACAACATTTACAAATAAAAGTTTAATTTGATGCTACACTATATCTATTCCGTATATAAACTTATGTATTTAATTATTTTTAAAAATGTTTAAAGAGATACACACTCTCCATATATATTCTGTTACTTGAAGTTGATGGAGTATATGGCCCGGGAACCCCCGACCCACAGACTCCTACTACTCCAATAAAGACCCAATAGGCCCAGGAAGCACAACAGGCTCGAATCACGGCGTCCAGAGTACCAAGCGGCCCACAATGCGCACCAGGGGCGCCTTCGGCCAGGGGGCCGAAGGCTCTGAATCTCACAGGATGGCCAAATCAGGAAAACAAGGTTACTGGGAGAAAACGGCGAAAATCAGTAGCCCTCGGCACCTAGAGCCCTCGGCACTAAGGGGGTCCCCGGTACTCAGAGCCCTCGGCTAGTCATCTACAGCCGAGGGAACCTTTTCCGACATGATATCCGCTCCACATGCGTATGGATCACCGTACCAAGTACGACGTCACATCCAACAGCCGCATTAAATGCGGCCACAAATGTGATTGCCAGCGCCAACCAGTTGAGGTGACCCATCGGCCAATAGATGCTTGACACGTTCCCCTGTCTTGAATTTATTGCTACTATAAATAGCACCTCATTTCCCCATTTGTAACCCAGAAGCAAATACGCTGAATACACTTTCCAATATACTCTCTCTCTCTACTTACTTGCTTTGACTTCTCTCTAGTTATTCCCCGTAATAACCCCTCGGATAAGCTACCCCCGGGTATACTATCCATCATTTACCCCCCGGGTATACTATCCATCATTTGGTGCTCTCGTTGAGAGGTCGAACAATCAAGTAAGAAACCCTCCCCCTCGACCAAACACAAAACACCTAGCTAAAATGGTGAGAACAACTCGTGCCAACTCCAAGAATGTAGAGGACATGAACCTGGCCCTCGGCGAGGTCGACGTCCCCGAAGCCTCCAACAGGGCTCCCGTGGGCGGCGTCATCACCGGGTTGGACCAGACGGCTGTCGACCTACGCCAACAGATTCAACAGAATGCCCCCGATGCCCGCCTCGGCATCGAGGCCAAGAAGAAGGACCGGAGCGAGAATCAAATTAGCCCTCCGGTCATCACAATCAACGTACAATCGGCGCTCTCCGCCTTCATCCAGATGCTCACCCAGAACCCGGGTGCCTTTGGCACTTTGGTTCCCCTCCAACCTCAGGTCGGGGAGAATATCATGCCTCCCCCTCACCCACACCCCCTCGGGAACCCGGTCCTCCGGATTGGGAACTCCGAGGGGGTCGTGGCCCAAGATACGGCCTCCCAGGAAGTCCAGTCCCGGGACCGCCACAACGTAAACAGAGAACAACTCCGGACCTCCGCCCTCGAGAGACTCGGATGGGCGCAAGACCGCCGAGGGGTCCAAGACCGCCTCGGGGGGAAGGCGTTCCAGAGGCCTCAGGAAAGTGGTGGGTCCGTCTCCGGGGCCAATGAAAGGCGTCCCCCTCAGGACAAAGGCAAGGCACCTCTCCATACCAACGACGCCCGCCACCAAATCAACCAGGCCCACTCGGCCCGCGTCCATTCGCAGGGGGCGGAGGCCCTCCCGAAGGACCCCCGGGACAAAATCATTGCGGCCCTCCAGCGCCGGCTTGACGAAATGGAGGCCACCAAAGCACACACCACCACTTCTGCCCCTCATACAGACCTCAAATATGAGGCGATGTTGGCCAAGATGGAGGAAATGCAGAAGAAGATAGCCGAGGGCTCCGGGGAACCCACCATACAGCTCCGGACCCGGACACCATTTACCCCAAGGGTATTGACGGCCCGGTTCCCGGAAAAATACCGAGGGCAGCTCATCAAGCCCTACGACGGAAAGACTGACCCCCAAGAGCACTACAGCAAGTATCAAAACAATATGATGATGGTGGGGGCATCGGATGAATATTTGTGCCGCTGGTTCCTCTCCACCTTGGAGGGGCCGGCTTACGAATGGTTCAATCGATTGCCCGAGGGCTGCATTGACTCATGGCAAGAACTCGCCCAACGATTCTTGACGCAATTTGCGGGAAGGCGTCGCACATGAAAACACTTCTCCCACTTGCTGACAGTGAGGCAGAGGAAGGAGGAGACCCTTCGGGACTTCCTGGAGCGCTGGAGAACGGAGGCTGATAAAGTTGATGGCGCTGACGACGGGGCCCTCCTGGTCCTCCTCCAAACAGTACTCCGCCCCGGGAACTTCTCAATGAGCCTCATCATCGAGCCTCCCCGCGATTATATAAGGGCCATACAGCGGGGGGACCGGTACGCCGAAGCCGAGGAGGTGGAGAAATGCCATGTCCCGGATCAGCAGCGCCCTCGGCCGGACGACAAAGGTAACCGGGGGCCGGGGGCTCCCCGCAATCATCCCAAGGATTCTGCCCCCCTCCGGTGATCACCCCCGGCATGGCCAAGCCAAGCCCGGGGGAGGCTACAAGGGGAACCCGAGGGCTTGGGCGCAGCCCGTCCTCCTGGAGCACCCTCGGACACCTTTGACGCATCCCGTCAGCGTCATTCTTGATTTTGCTGAGGAGAGGGGCTTAGTGGAGCGAGATTCACGCGCGCGCCCGGAAGTATTTGCCATCAATCCAAACTACCCCTACTGTCGTTTCCACCGGCACCGGGGGCACAGGACCGATGACTGCCATCAGCTGAAGATGGCCATCGAGAGGTTGATACAAGCAGGCCATCTGTCTCAGTCTATCCAGGGCCCTCAGCAACAGGGCCCCCCTCACCAAGGGCCAACCCGAGGGCAAACTGCGAGAGCAAATGCATGGGTCAACCCCAACACCATCCCCCTCGGGAAAATAAGGGAGATTGGGAACCTGGAAGAAGAGGAGGAGGAGTACCCCCGGTACCAAGAGAAGAAGCGCCAAATCCTCATGATCACCGGGGGCAATACCGGGGGTGACTCTACGAGTCAACGAAAGAAGTGGGCTCAGTCACTTTACGTGGGGGAAGTGACTCATATGCCCCCAGTAAAGCGGCTGAGGGAGGAACCCATCACCTTCACCAACGCCGATCTCCCCCCGGTGTCCTCCCCACACAGGGATGCCCTCGTCATCCGCACAGAGATCAATGACACTATTATTCACAGAACTTACATTGACACGGGCAACTCCGTCAATGTAATGTACCTCAGCACCTTCAGAGAGCTGCATCTGGAGAGGGTGTCCCTTCGGCCCATCAAGACCCCTCTTGCCGGCTTCAACGGCGACACCATTGATTCCGAGGGGGTTATAACCCTCCCGGTACTCTTCGGCGACGGGCTCCATAGAGCCAAGCTCGAAGTGGAGTTCGTCGTCGTCAACATCGATTGCGCCCACAACATCATCCTCGGCCGACCAGCTCTCGAGGATCTCGAAGCCGTCATCTCCATGAGGCACCTCTGCCTCAAATTCCCAGCCGAGGGGGGAATCGGTTACTCAAGGGGGAACCAAAAGCTTGCCCGCGCTTGCTACCTTCAAGTGACAAAGAAGGTTAGCAAGACGGAGTTCCGCGTTGACACCATCACCGGAACTGTGGAAGCGGAGGAAAGAAGGCCGAGGGCTGAACCAGCCGAGGAGGTAGAAGACTTCGCGCTCGATCCGGCCAAGCCAGAGAGAGTCGTGAAGATTGGAGCCAAGCTCCCCGAAGACTTGAAGACCAGCATCATCAGCGCCCTCCGCGCCTACTCCATTGTTTTTGCATGGGGGCCGGAGGACATGTCGGGGATCAGCCGAAGGGTCATCACCCACCGCCTCTCGGTGGACCCTTCGGCCAAACCAGTACAGCAGCGGAGGAGACCCCTCTCGGGCGAGAGGAGGGAATTTATGAAGAAGGAGGTCGCCATGCTCCTCTCTATCACGCACATCAAGGAGGTGAAGTACCCCTCATGGTTGGCAAACGTGGTCCTTGCACAAAAACTGTCACGCCCCGGACCTAGCCGGACACGTCAACAACCCGCCGTACAGTACGAATAGTCAACCGCAGTTCAACTCATCCATACTATACAAGGCGTCATGAATATCATTCACACGTAGTACATCCATAAACAAACATAATGTAAAACGTGCATTTAAAACAGCGGAAGCATTAATACAATTGTTCAAGCCACACTTGGCATAACTAGGCATGCAAGCCCCCAAAGTAATTATTCAGAAAATATTATCCATGAGCATTAGTGTAATTGTTTTTAAAACAGAACGGGAGAAGCACGAACCACGTCTTCTTCCCTTGATTCCTCCCGAAGCAACGGGCAATGGCAGCGACCTTCACGTTCTACCTGAAACTGTGAGGTGGCCTCCCCCGTGAAGGGGAGGTCAGTACTTGGAAATATTTGACAAGTACAATAGCAACTATACTAAGTATAATCAACGTTTTAATTTCCAAGACCCTCAACTTAGGGTACTATTATATTATAGGCCATAACCCTCGATTACCCCTTTTTACCCTTAACTGTACTTACTTTACATAAAGTCAAGTAGACGGCCCGTAGGCCCATATTCATTTAGAATTCACCATTTCCATTCCCCCGTGACCGCGAGTCACGATAACCCCGTGGGGTCCCATCGAGCCCCAATTGTATAGCATGGGCTCGGCCCAACTACATCTCTATACAATCCTCTAACTCGATGTATCATATCAACATTTGTATGGCAAGGGCTCGGCCCAACTACGTTTCCATACCAACCATAACTTCGTGGCAAGGGCTCGGCCCAACTACGTTTCCACGGAGGTCACATATACATGGCAAGGGCTCGGCCCAACTACGTTTCCATGCTAATCATATTACATGGCATGGGCTCGGCCCAACTACATCTCCATGTCATCCTAGAGTCCAACTCTATTTATTTTCATAATCAAATCCTCAAGCAAGTCCTATGCCTAGAATCAATTTCCGGAGGTGACCTTTAGGCCTACCCCTAATCACTCCTTAGTGTTCATACCATTCATCCTTAAGTATCTCTTGAGACTACTTAAGGCATATCTATTCACAATCCTACCTCTTAGGATTTATTTCATCATTTATTTATATTAATTCCCCAACTAGTATTTTGATACTAATTGGACAACCTTAGAACATGCCAAGTTCCTATTTCCCATATTGCATTTCATTTCCATTGATTTCTCAATCCAAGTATAGTTTAATCTCAATATCAAAAATATCACTTTAATTCATTCATGAATCTCATACATGAAGTAAAGTATATTTTATCACAAGGTCATCTTAGTAATTCCATTAACATGCCATTCCATTCATTTCACATAATCATACACAATTATTCTAAATTTGTATATCATGCTTCACTTACTCATATACATATTATTTTCATTTAGACATTATTAATCTTTAATAGTCCATGAAAATCCCATCTAATTACTTTAGGCATTCTTATGAAATTAACTCACTAATTATAAGCAATATAGTCAGCCATCCTCACCTTATGAAGTGCTGAAATAGTTGCCTTTGCCAAGCCCCTCGATCAATCCCCGTTCTAGGCCGATTGGAGGTGTAAAACTGACCTGCTAGGCAAAAGCCGGGCGGCTTTCACGAAAGCTGGGCGGCTTTCGTGGTCTGCAACTACGACTAGCTCCTTTGAAGTGGCGGTTTCCGGCGGTTTCGACTCCTATCGATTGGCCAACCCTCCTAAGTTAATTACCACCACTTTATATCAATATTCTACACTTTTAAACGTGTAGAGCTCATGATTTAATCCATCATATGATTTCTTAAAAATCATGCACAATAAAACTAGTTAAAGAGCTATTTGGTGTTCTTACCTCAAGCCTAGCTCTTCTCCTTGGATTCTCTAGCTTCTTCTTCCTCAATGAGGCTTTGGGAATTTGGTTTCCTGGAGGTCCTCACCTCTTGTGTCGGTCATATGAGTGTAGGGGTGGAGATAGGGTTGCTTCTCAATCAACACAATTGATTTGTGTGAGATAGGACCCTTGGCATAAGTTCTTGTCTCAAGGAGACTTCCTCCCTCCCCCTTGTGCGTACCAGCACGTCTTGCTGCTCCCCTCCCCCATTATTTGATCAATCAGCACCAATAAAAACGTGGGGTGGCCCCCACTTATGTGGGAGGCCATCCCATTACGTCCCGGTGTGTACAATCGGCCCCGAAAGTTGTATTTCTCGGCCCGTTTTAATCATATTTTATTTTATCGGACCAAATAAAATATATCACGTGTTCCCAATAATTATGGGCCTTTAGAATAGATGTACATTCCCCAACATTAATTTTGGAGTCTCCGAAACTCATTTCGGGCTGTTATCCGCTCAATCATCAATACCGGTAATTGGGCCCCGTTTGACCAACCGGTCAACTCCATGCCTTTCTTATGGCCCAAATAAAATATCCACCACCATATATATTATCTAGACCAAGATGAGTATAATATGTGGTTCGGGAATTATCGGGCGGTCCCCGTTCCCGCTGTGGGCCCCACATGCAATTTACTATTCACGTAAAAGAATAACAAAAATTTACAATTACGCAAATTCATAAATCATCTTTCAAGGTTTATTACATAATTTACTAAAAGTAAATATGCTCGGGGTCGGTGTTACAAAAACCGCACTTATTCCGCATGTGCGTGGACTACACGGATCTCAACAAGGCGTGTCCCATGGACCCCTTTCCTTTGCCAAATATTGATCAACTTGTGGATGAATCCGCGGGGTGTGAAATCATTTCATTCCTCGACGCATTCCGCGGATATCATCAAATATTTATGCATGAGGAAGACGCTGAAAAAACAGCCTTCATGACTCCCGAGGGCATCTTCTGCTACCTCGTCATGGCCTTCGGCCTAAAGAACTCAGGCGCCACCTACACTCGGATGGTGGCCAGGGTATTCCAAGCTGTCCTAGGGCGTACCATGGAGGCATATGTTGATGACATGATCGTCAAAAACAAGCAGTCGGCAAGCCATGCTGATGACCTGAGGGAGATCATCGCCATCATGCAGAAGTTTAGCCTTCGGCTGAACCCAAAGAAGTGTACCTTCGGCGTTCAGGGGGGCAAATTATTGGGCTACATGGTGAGCCGAAGGGGTATCGAGGCCAACCCCGAGAAGATCCAGGCCATCATCAACATGGAGCCCCCACGCAACGTAAAAGAGGTCCAACGTTTGACGGGCCGCCCGGCAGCCCTCAATCGCTTCTTATCAAAATCGGCGGAGAAGTCCTTACCCTTCTTCCAGGTCATGAGAAAAACCGCCGGTTTCCAATGGACTTCAGAATGTCAGGGGGGCTTCGAGGAACTGAAACGGTACTTATCTTCACCCCATGTGCTCTCTAAACCCAAGGTGGGGGAGATCCTATACCTTTACCTGGGCGTTAGCCCGGCAGCCATCAGCTCAGTGCTCATCCGGGAGGAGGATGGCATCCAACATGCCATCTTCTATGTTAGCAAGACCCTCAGGGAAGCGGAGCTCCGGTACTCCCCCGTGGAAAAAACGGTGTTGGCTATCGTGTGGACCGTCAAGAAATTGGGCCATTACTTCCAAGCTCACCCGGTCCAGGTCCTCACTCACCAACCCCTCGGCGCCTTGATGAGGAGCCCCACCAGCTCCTCCCGAATGGTGAAATGGGTTGTCTTCTTGAGCCAATACAACATCGACATTCGTCCTAGGCCCGCCATCAAGGGTCAAGCCCTAGCGGACTTCGTGACGGAATGTACGGCAAGATCAGCCGCGGACGAGGAGCCTTCGTTCCCTTCGGATGATTGGTGGACCCTCTACACCGACAGCTCCTCCGCCGTCAAGGCATGTGGAGGAGGGGTGGTTCTCATCTAACCCGAAGGCTTCCGGGCCTATTACGCAGTCCGCTTCTCCTTCAAAGTCTCTAACAATGAAGCCGAATACGAGGCCCTCCTCTGTGGCCTTCGGCTGGCAGCTAAAATGAAGGCCCGACAAATTCACGTCAAGTGCGACTCTAAGTTAGTCGTCGGCCAAATCTCCGGGGAGTACGAAGCCAAGGAAGGGAGAATGAAGCAATACAAGGAGGCGCAGCCAAGGAGTTGCTTAAGGTATTTGAGGCGCACTCTCTTACTCAAATACCGAGGGCTCAGAACTCCGAGGCCGACATTTTATCAAAGCTCTCGGCAGAATCCCCTGAGCATATCTCGAAGATTGCCAAAGTAGAAGAGCTCAGCCTTTCTAGCATACATGCTAGCCCCATCATGCACATACAACAAAGGCAGGGTGACTGGATCTCAGACATTGTCGCCTTCATCCTACAACGGGACATTACTTCGGTGCCTTCACCAAGATGAAGCCGAAGTGGCGATGGAGGAAGTACACAGTGGCACTTGCTCAACTCACGAGGGACCCTTCTCCATGTCCCGAAGGCTAATAATCCAGGGCTACTTCTGGCCTACGATGGCCCGGGATTGTGCAGATCTTGCCCGGAGGTGTCCCGCATGCCAACACTTCCAGAAAGCCCCCGACAGGCCAGCAGTCAACTATGCCCCCATCAGCACATACATACCCTTCGCTCGATGGGGCATAGACCTTGTGGGCCCTCTGCCGAGGGGTACCTCCAACAACAGGTACATCATCGTCGCCATCGATTACTTCACCGAATGGGTGGAAGCGGAGCCCCTCGCCAGCATTACTGAGGCCAGATGTCGTCATTTTGTTCTCAAAAACATCCTCACAAGGTTTGGCGTCCCCCAGCAAATCATCTCTGACAACGGGACTCAGTTCGAGGCAGCCCCCTTCTGTGCCCTCCTGGAGGCATGGGGCATCAAACACACCTTCTCATCCGTTGCCTACCCCCAAGGCAACGGACAGGTGGAGAATGCCAACAGGACCTTGCTCGAGGGCCTAAAGAAGAAACTGGAGGCCGAAGGGGGTGGTTGTGTAGAAGAGCTCCACAACATCTTATGGGCCTACTGTACCACCCCTCAGCGGGCAACTGGCGAGACACCCTTCTCCCTTTGCTACGGATTTGAAGCTAAGGCCCCCACTGAGGTAACTCTTCCAACCCGAAGGGTCACACAGTATGATCCGGAGGCCAACGATGCCAATATGGCCCTCGACCTCCACCTTATTTCAGAACGCCGAGAGCAAGCCTTCATACGCGCAGAAAACTACCGAAGGCAAGTGAAGAGTTACATTGACGCCAAGGTCCGCTCCCGGGAATTCCAAGTGGGGGACTATGTCCTCCCAAGGAGGGAAGCTAGCCAGCCAACCGAGGGCGGAAAGATGGCACCAAAGTTCGAAGGCCCCTACATCGTGGCAGCCATCATCAAACCAGGAACTTACAAGCTAAAACGCCCTAATCGGACTGAAGTCCCTAGGCACTAGAATGTACATCACTTAGTTAAATTTTATCAATAACATCAGAACGACCAAGCCCTCATAACTAGTGAATGTATTATTTTACGGCTCAGGCCTAAAAATTCTGAAGAACGAAGGCATTTTGAAGACACCAAGAACACGGAACTGGATTCTTACGAAGGGCCAAGCCCTCATGTCACCCCCTGGCCCAAGGCCTTACCACGAGGAAGAACCCTCGGCACCAAGTGTTAGGAAATTGATGTAACGTACCTCGAAAGTACGGCAGCGGATGTTTAAAATTTTCCCAAACAGATCTTCCCTGATTATGACAAAATAACGAATATGATAATAATAACAGATCTGAGTTAAAACTTACAGATCTTTTAGCCTAGCGGTGATAATCCTTGACCTTTGGTATCCACGTGATTTCTCCTTTCCGAAAGAACGGTTAGATCTCCCTAAGAGAAAGGCTAGGAAATCTCTTCGCAGGGAAATAAACTGGTAATACTGAATCTAAAATCTTGTCCAAATTATGAAGGAGAATGGTGTATTTATACTAGTTCTAAACTAGTTTCCCAATCACAATGAAAATCTTAGCTTATTCATTAAAGAGTTCTAATCTAATTAGGACCAATCTCATTTATTTAATCAAATAAATAAATAAAAAAAACTAATCAATAATATGGGGGGAAGTGGGCTGCACGCCACTTTCCACCCTTACTACATTATTTATTTTATTTTATTTATTAATTAAATATTAATTAAATAATATAAATAATAAATAATAATAATAATAAAATCACAATAAGAGGAAGGCTAGGGAGTGGCTTTAGCCGCTACCCTACCTTTACTCTATATATATTATTATTATATTATTTATTATTATTTTGATTTTTCTTTTAATCTAATTCCAAAATGTATTAAAAGAAAATATCAACCTTATTTAATTATAAATACACTTTAATTAAGTATAATAAATCTAATGTATTTTACTTAATTAATTCTATCAAATAGAACTCTCCTTCAACTTCATGAATTAAATATGTTTAATCTAATTATATTTAATCCATTTTCAGTATTACGAATTAAATATAATTTAATCCAATTAATATTTAATTCCTTCTAACAGTTCAGCCGGAAGGTATAATCACTTGTTGTGTGACCCATAGGGCCTTATATATTAAGCACTAATCAAATTAAGGTCTTAGTAGAATCCCTAGACGATTTACCAGACAAACTTAATATATAAGGACGTTTGCGAGGACTATTCAAACTCCCTGTAATATAGAGCTCATAGTGATACGGTCCTTTCATTCAACGAACATTCAACTAAGTCTAGAACATGATATTGTGTCTATCCCAATAACTCAGTCTCTGTCTCTCAATCTTTCTAGATGATCCATAACGATCATATTCGATATCCAAAACGAATATATCTTTGCATTGGCCAATGACTTTATGATCCATCTAGATATGAGAAGTAGAATGTTCTCTCTTAATCTATTATGAGGAATGAATCCTTTCTTGGCTCAACTACTACTCCATGTGCTTCGTGATGCACCCAACACATGCCGTATCTACCCCGATTGGAGTGCAAGTGTTGGTCATGGTCAAAGTACATCACTCCGCACATGTAGTACGTATTGACCTCAAGTCGGAGGACTATTACACTACTCTATACGCCGATAATCCCATAGACACATGAATAGAACTTATCAAATGGTTTCTCGGTGGGTATGCCAATATTCTCTAAAATATCTATGTGACCATCATGAATTACAGGAACTCATAGTTGTGAGATCAACTATACTTTCTAAAAGTATGATGCAGTCCACATACCAATCTTATCGCATATCATCAATATCCCATTCTTGATGATCATTGATTGGGGCTATTTTAGGACCTTATGTTATATCATATAAGCTCCCACTTACTCATTGACAACATAAGTCCAAGGGAACACAATTATGAATAAGATATTGGCAATCGAAATACTTAATCATCAATGTGTAATACCGTATATATCAAATATATAAAACTGAATGTGATCAAGTACATATATCTCTAAAAAGTGATTGTCGCTAGGACATATATACTAACAGTGCCGAGGGTAGACAATACTATCACCTACAACAGCAAGAAAATACTAATTGTCCTCAATGGAGACCCTTCGGCACCCGGTGCCGGGGGGACACTCCACTGACAACTTTCAACAAGTGGGAAAAACACCAAGTGTTTCCACAAAAGACCCCTCGGTACCAAGTAACGAGGGTAGACAACACAATCACCTGCGACAAATGAAGAAAAAACACCAAGTGTTTTCACAGAAGACCCCTCAGTACCAAGTACCGGGGGCCGTACAGCGAAACAAACACCAAGTGTTGTTTCTAAAGCCGTACCCCTCGAGGACGCCTATACCGAAGGCGCCACCTCTCGGTGCCGGCAGCACGTAGTGCCCCCGACCATTTGCAACCAGTGTGCAAATGAAAACCCTTCCCTGAAACGCTTTCCGCGTCATTACCCCAAGGGTATGACATGCACGAAATATGCCCAGGATTCGACTTTCAAAAACGGAACGCTTTTCGCGTCATTTCCCCAAGGGATTGGCAGGCATCTAAAATTCCCATGATTCGACTTCCAAATCGAAACGCTCCCCGCGCCACCACCCCAAGGGTGTGGCAGGCCACGGACTATGTCTAGCACCGAGGGGACGACTTTCAAAACTGAGGCGCTTTCTGTGCCATCCCCCAAGGGGAGGCAGGCTACAGACCACCATATCTTGTACCCAGGAAACGACCCTCGATCCCCTCAGAACTCGGAAGGTTAACCCGAGGGGGGAGCTAATGGTGTATTCTGTTACCTCACGATAGGCCAAGCCTTACCAAGAAACCAAGTTTCTTGAAGCCTTCCCTTCACTACTCAAAAAAAAAAAGGGGGGGGGGGGGGTAGTGAAGGGGAGTAGACTCAGCGAGAAATCAATGAGTACATCACTCCAACAATTCACGGAAACATACCGAGGGCTCCCCATGGGGACACCTTCGGTACCTGGAAGCTCATGAATACCAAGGATACCATTCACAACAGACATCATCAACAAATGGCCAAGTCCACTCCATGATTGCCTCTGGCTACATCTAAGCCGAAGGCTCAAATCCTACAAAACGTGACAGGCTCAACCAACAACAACTCAAAACGTCCCCAAAGACTACTATATAACAAAGCTATGAGATGGTGGCCAAACCAAATCAAGAATCACCTCCGGCACCTCACTACATGCCGAGGGGATACATCCAGACAATTCCCAAGGGAGTCTGCCTTTCTACACTAGACTGGGATTACAAAATTTCCTAAGTCAAACTGTGGGGACATAACAACAGCCGAAGGCTTTTTGTTGCCACAAGCCAACATTACAAAGCAAAGGAAACTATCCTAAACCACGAAGTATACAGCCGAAGGGTCCCCTCTCGAAGGCCAGCGGCAGGAAATACTTAGAGAAAATAATCTAGGTCCTGAGTACCCTGCCCTCTGACGAGTCACCATTCAACCGAGGGTACACCTACGACAAAGCTCTCACATTTCACCCGAGGGCTCCTACTTCGCACAACTAAACTTAGAAATATTTTCTAAGTCCTACATATTTTGGCCCTCGGTCAAATCTCCATGCAGCCAGAGGGGCCATACGGTTGAAGGCTTGGTGAAACTACACTTAGAAAAATTTTCTAAGTCTTAAATATTTTGAGCCCTCGGTTATATACCCACGCACCGAAGGCTAAACAATGTCCAAACACTTAGAAAATTTTTCTAAGTCTTAAGCACCTTGCCTCCGGTTATCTCATGAAGGCTACACAGAACCAGAGGGAAGGAATTAGCCGGGGGCCAACAGATGAACAACACTTAGAAAAATTTCTAAGTCCTGAACGTTGGGCCCTCGGCGCAATGTTCGGATGACTAAACAGGCCTAGTAGCCGAGGGCTACAAAAGACACTGTACTTAGAGAGAAAATTTCTAAGTCCTAACATGCATACATACAGAAAAGGCGAAGGCATACATACAGAGAAGACGAGGGCATACATTCAAAGGAAAACAATTAAAAGGAACGGGTCATATACAAAAGCCCGAAGGCAGGTATTCATTCATCGAAGAAAGGAAAATTCAAGCGTATATTACAAATGGGCCGAGGCCGAGGGCGTACAATATTCATTACAAAGAGAGGTGTTCAAAAAGCTACTAAGTACAAATGTTTCATTCAGCTGTTGCCTCATCGGCAGGCTTCGAGGTGACCTCCTCCCCGACGGCAGCCTCGGCATCACCGTCACCAGATCCCCCCATCATCATGGAGTCGTGGATCATAGGCCTCTCTTCGCCCGGGGGGAGGGGGTTTCTTACATCTGGCTGCAAAGCGGGAAGGCCGTACGCCGAGGGGTCGAACTCCTCGAGGGGGACTTTGAAATGCCTGGCGAGCCTCCGGTACACCAGATGTTGGGTGAAGAACTCGCCCCCCTGGTAGTAGCTGTCGCCCGTCTCTGCCATCCAGTCGGCCCCGGGGCACTTCACCCAGTCGTCGACCGAAGACTCCACGACCGAGGCCACCCACTGCCGCCTGTCTTCGGTTTTCCAGCCCTCGGCCATAAATGCGGCAACAGCCTCCTCTCGGACTTTGGCGACGGCCTCGGCCTTGGCAAGCTCTGCCTCCTCGGCAGCTTTCTTGGCGGCCCTCTCGGCCTCGAGCCTGGCCTCCTCCACAGTAGCCTTGACCCTCAGCTCAGCGCCTTCGGCAGGCTTCCGGAGATCTTCCTCCAGCAAGGCCATCTGCTTCATAGCATCAGAGTTCTTCAGGATAAGCTCCTTCATTTCCAGATCCTGCTCCGCTTTCTGAAAGCCCCATTGCTCGAGTCTCTGAGCGTGCTCCCCGAGGGCTACACAAGCCTGATAGACAACAGGCGGAGGGGTTAGATTAGTATGGAAAACACATTAAAGGTTAAAACACAAAGCGAAGGAGGAAACTTACAGCTGACGAAGATCGAAGGATCTTGTTCTCGAGGGCTGCATCATCATAAGTCGAGAGGGCGGCCTTGTCCATTGCCGAGGTGATCCCCCTAAGGAAGGCCTTCGGCTCCGTTGAGCCGTGTAGAACAGAAGCCCCCGGGGCCAAGGAAAGCTGCAGAATCTCCCCGGGGAGGCTTCCCAAGGGAAGATCGGGCCGAGCTGTCGCCGCAGCACCAACCGGGGGATCCGGAGAAGGGTGATCCTCAATGATTACCAAGGGGGCATCCTGGCCAACGGTGCCCCTGGTACCCCTCTGCTTCTTGGCAGGGGGCTCAACCGCCTTGCTGCCCTTCTTCTTTTTTGTGGCCCCCTCGGCCACCCCGGTAACTTCCTCCGCAGCAGAGGGCTCCGGAGTCTCCTTCTGAAAGAAGGCTTCCACAGGCTGCTGGACCGAGGGGTCCTTCTTTTAGGCTTGGGCCTTGCCCTTCTTTTTCTTCAAAGCGAAGAGCTTCCCAGCGTCCATATTCACACCTGCCAACAAAAAAAAGGATTAGACCGAAGGGCAAGAAAGCGCAAAAAAAGAGGAAAAAATCCTAAGTACAAAATAGGGAGCCCTCGGCTACTACCTCCTGCTCCCTCGAGAGCCTTGTCCAACACAGGATACTTCTCGTCTGTCTCACCGAGGAAGCGATATCTGCGGAAGCCGAGGGCGAAAAGCTCCTTGTCAGCAGTATAGTCCTTAATGGACACTTGCTTCGTACGACCCTCCGGGATCTTGGCTATTATCAAGCCATCCTTCTCCAGAGCAGCGTTCCCAACCTTCGGATGCCGACGGAAGCGATCCCGAAGTTCCATCTGAATTGGGCTCTCGGCAATTTTAACATAGCACCATCGTTCCTTCCAGCCTTTATTGGACGAGGGCGCTTCTGTGAATAGTTTCCACTGGGCTATCTCCTGCAGATTGGCGAAGACCTCGACATTCGCGTGACCCCCTCGGCAGAGGTTGAAGCTCTGGAAAAACAAGTCCAGGCTGGGAGTCACCCCTCGGGCCCGGCAGAGATTCAGGAAGCCCGCCACGTAGGAGTGGCTATTGGACGTCAACTGGCAGGGGACCAAACCCACATACCGAAGGTATTCCCGAAGGAATGGGTGTAGGGGGAACCGGAGCCTCATTGATACCGACAGGATGTGCACGGCGATGCAACCCTCGGGAGCCCGGGAGAGCACATCATCAGGACCTGGCGCCACCACCACAGCCGAAGGCCCCACGTGCAGCTGAGTCACGTACAGGTCTTCCCAGTCAGCTTTCGACCCTATCTCGAGGGCAGCAGTATTCAGCCAGGAATACCCCTCGGGCACATCGATGGGCTTTCCTTGATCAGCAACGATGCACTTCTTCTTGGGAGCAGCTTTCTTCTTCTCATGTTTATTCCCGGGGGGCACTCTTATCGGCGTCGGGTTGAGGGGCCGAGAGCTCCCTGCCTCACCAGAACCGCGGGGGGGAAGGACAACCACTGTCACCCTCATCCTCTCTTTCTCTTCCTCCTCCTCTGCAACTTGTACGGCGAGGGCAAGCTCTTCATCCTCCGCCTCTTGCTCAAAGCCCTCGGCTTCAACTTCAGCCACTAACTCCTTCTGCACCTCCATGGCCATCGCAACATCCTCCTGGGCCAAAAGTTGCTCGCTCGAGGACCCCGCATCCGAGAAGCTCTCCTCTTCCATCGAGGGATCCCTCGATATGTCCTGAGAATCACTTTGGGAAGACATCTTTCCACTGGGTCGAGGGCTCGGAAACACTAAGTGTTCTAAGTTACAACTCCTAAATCTAAGGCCACTAAAACAGCTAGCTAAGAAGGGAGAAGGACAAGTGGGGAACTGACCTTGGAAAAGGAGTTAGATCGAGGGCAAGTGTTTCTCTCTCTAGAAAAAATCCGGCAGAGCTTCGCTAACAAATGATCGCACAGGAGAAGTGGTGCCGGCCATGGGGTATTTATAGGCACCTGGATCCGGGCTTGGGCCTGGAAACCGGGCCTCCGGTTGAAAAGCCATCATTACGGACCGTCGAACTGCCCAATCAGTGACGCCCACCCACGGGCAGCCAACGAGCACGCACCACGTGGAAGCCCCCCCCCCCCAACGGCTATATTTTGACGTTAGGTATTCCAACGGCTATATTTACAACGGCTATATTCTGGGAGCTCCCGGCTGTATTTAGCCGGCCACTCCTTCATCAACCAGGAAACTAGCCCCCGGGCTTTTTACTACACTACACTTCATTAAGGAGAGCCCCCGGGTACTCTTACCCCGAGATGCTCCCGGTTGATGCCCCTCATACTGCATGACAATGCCTTCGGGCTTACTCCTTCAGAAGCCCACGGCTTCATAACAGGCACACCCCTCGGGGATCCCCCCTCAGCACTTTGAGGACCAGGTAGCCCCCGGGGAGTACACCTCATTGACGGATAGCCTGCAGCACACAGATAACGGGAGCCCTCGGATACCCTCCTCACCAACTGATCAACAAACAGGGGGCACAACTTGTAACGCTTCAACTACTACTCACATTCATCACGCCCTTGATCCCCAGATTGAGGGACTCCCCTTCGGCATCTCCAAGAATATCAACAGCAAGCCTCCGGCTAATCAACACACGCGCCCTCAGAACAAGGATAGCCTGCGACTTCAGCATTGTACTCCATTTCAAACCAGGGCTTCACATTTTTCGATTCATCGTTGGGGGAATTCAGTGCACTCTTTTTCCCTCATTAGGATTTTTTCCCACAGGGTTTTTCCTAATGAGGTTTTTAACGAGGCATCCCCCCAAAATGAAACGAAAAGCGTCAGCCTTCGGCCCAATACAGCAACATGATTACTCTACTCCTTTTCACCACTTTGCAAGTGCCTCAAGGAGTGGGGGACTGGAGGACCCCCTCGGGAAAATCACAAAAATACAAAATGCTAAAAACTCCCGCAAACAGCAAACATGCCCCTCAAGTCCCGACATGTGGGTAACTGAGGGACTGCCCTCGGCAGAATAAACAAACAGCAAACTACCCACAACTCTACAAACTACAACGGAACAACGGCAGAGAACAAACACAATTACTCCTTTTCCCTCAAGTACCTTTCGGCAAAAGGAGTGAGGGACTCCTGATGGAGTATATGGCCCGGGAACCCCCGGCCCACAGACTCCTACTACTCCAATAAAGGCCCAATAGGCCCAGGAAGCACAACAGGCCTGAATCACGGCGCCCAGAGTACCAAGCGGCCCACAATGCGCACCAGGGGCGCCTTCGGCCAGGGGGCCGAAGGCTCTGAATCTCACAGGATGGCCAAATCAGGAAAACAAGGTTACTGGGAGAAAACGGTGAAAATCAGTAGCCCTCGGCACCTAGAGCCCTCGGCACTAAGGGGGTCCCCGGTACTCAGAGCCCTCGGCTAGTCATCTACAGCCGAGGGAACCTTTTCCGACATGATATCCGCTCCACATGCGTATGGATCACCGTACCAAGTACGACGTCACATCCAACAGCCGCATTAAATGCGGCCACATGCGATTGCCAGCGCCAACCAGTTGAGGTGACCCCTCGGCCAATGGATGCTTGACACGTCTCCCTGTCTGGCATTTATTGCTACTATAAATAGCACCCCATTTTCCCATTTGTAACCCAGAAGCAAATACGCTGAATACACTTTCTAATATACTCTCTCTCTCTACTTACTTGCTCTGACTTCTCTCTAGTTATTCCCCGTAATAACCCCTCGGATAAGCTACCCCCCGGGTATACTATCCATCATTTACCCCCCGGGTATACTATCCATCAGAAGTATTGGAATATTGAAAAATGTACATACATAAGTGTTGAGGTCTATTCCTCATGGTTCAAAGGCTTGACACGTTCCTTTGAGCATTCGTTGGAGCTTTAATGGATTATGTGTCTTTTTGTGAGTAGATTAAATGAGTATGAGAGCATAAGCATTAGCAAGAAGAGTAGAAGGTAAAGTGGATCGAGTTCTATTAATGGACTTGGAACCATTACAACGCACACTTACCGAGCCCGAGCCCCGACCTTCTATTCTAAACTGAGAGAATACGGAAGAACCAGAGATAGAAGCTAAGTTATTGAATGCAATTTGTATACTTTTACAATGAAATAAATGCAGGTATTTATACTAAAAGGTAGTAGTCGTCGGTGGTGACGTGGCGAGCCCTAGTGGCTAACCCTTATCCATAAAATCTTTCTACATTGAATTCGCTTCCCGCAATTTCTTTGCCTTCCCAACAATTCTTCAAGGTGACTAAGCTAGGTGCCCATCAATAGCAATCTGATGATTCTTCGAGGAGCCTATCCCACCCAGCCCATGCTGTCGGAGTCTAAGTTCCCTTATCTACCTGTTGTGCCCATTGTCCTACTCGGGGTATGTGGGTATGCCATATGCTGGGTCATATACCCCAACACAAGTCCCCCATTCTGATAATTCGGGCGTGGGGACATTAGGAAATGGAGAATAAAACTGCATGTTGTGCGGCCTCAACGTCGTCATCTTACCCCCTAAATTTGAGGCTAAAGCACCCTCAATGGAAACAAATGGAAGAAGTACCTTTTGTCTTGTTAGGGTGTTTCAGTTGATATTCATGAAAAAAGGATGTTGCTTGCCCTACACCAAGGAGGAAATTGTTATTCTCCTCCAATAAACCCCATGATACTGTGAATAAACTACAAAGCGAAATGAGAACGTATACTAACTCAAAAACAATATAATTGATTAAAGAAGCTATCACATCAGTTGCCTCTTTAGCTCCAAGCCTTAGGCTAGGATCTTCTGTTAGTAAGCTGCAAGAAAATAATGGCAGAGTTAGAGTCAGTAAATGGTAAATGAAACATACCAACTACTTGAAGCCTATATTCTAAGAAAAGAAATGCTCCTAAAAGATACACCAATATCCATAATTCCATATTAAGATAATAAAAGGAAGCAGCAGACCGAGAGTTTCGGTGTTTATGAAAAAACCTTGCTCCTAAAAGATACACCTATATCCATAACCCCACATAATTTTAAATTGTTATTATAAATCTTGTTTTATACAGCACTAATTGTGAATTGTTTGGGAGTTCATGGTTTGAGAATAAGCAATAATTTATAACTGAATATTACACATAAAATGGCTAGTGCATAATTCCATTTTCATTACCCACGTTCCATAGTAAGATCACAATTTAAAATTTTAATTAGTTGAATACTACACGTGCGTGGAGGAGCAATATCGAATGCTAGGGATCTTAAAATTAAACATTACATTTGAGAAACAGTGTCACCTTCTCTGGAATTGACCAAAGATAGAAAGTTTTAAGAAGTTATAAAGCAAATCTAACCTGATATCATTGAATAGCAATTGTAGGTACGGAATCCGCAGTCGATTCCAACACCAAAGGAGCTCTGGTCCTGGTTGAAGGAGAGGTGGAGAAGGGTAGGCTGAGAGGAGTAATTGATTTGAGAGACTGGGTCTGGGTCAGAACTCTTCATGGTAGCGCAATTGTTGATGCGGAATCTTTGTTCGATTCCAGAGAAGGGGATTCAATGATTTCAGAGACCGGTCTGGATCAGAACTCTTCATGGTAGTGAGAGAAGAGATTTGAGAACGATTTGATGATGGAGAACGAAATGCTAAGGGAGAATAGGGTGAAGAAGAAAGGGTGATGATGTATAGGAGCGGACGTTTGAGATTAGTTTGTATGAGAAGCGGATGATTGATGAAGAAAAGGGAGGGATGGGGCAAAGAAGAAACGGTGGGATGGGAGCGAACTATTGAGGCGCAGAACAAAAGGTGAGATGGGAGCGGAAGATTGAGGGGAAGAAGAAACGGTGATGATCGATGGAAGCGGACGATTGAGATCATTTTGGATGTAAGCAGGAGTACTGTTCATTGAACAGTAAAAACAGTGTTCATT